AGAAGCAGCAGCTGCTACTGCTGCTGCTACTGCTGCGTCTGGCGCTGCTGCTGCTTCTGGCGCTGCTGCTACTGTTGTTGTTGTTGTTGTTGTTGTTGTTGTTGCTGCTGCTGCTTCTGGCGCTGCTGTTGCTGCTGCTGCTACTGTTGCTGCTTCTGCTACTGCTGCTGCTACTGCTGCGTCTGGCGCTGCTGCTGCTTCTGGCGCTGCTGCTACTGTTGTTGTTATCGTTGCTGCTGCTGCTTCTGGCGCTGCTGCTGCTGCTACTGCTGCTGCTGCTGCTGCTGCTACTGCTGCTACTGCTGCTCTGGTACGAGTGAGAATAACGCCGAAAACACGAAGGCCAGAGTAAACATCGCGTGCTCTACTGCTGCTGCTGCTTCTGCTGCTACTGCTTCTGCTGCTGCTGCAGCTGCTACTGCAGGCTGCTACTACTGCTACTTCTGGCGCTGCTGCTGCTGCTACTGCTGCTGCTGCTTCGGGCGCTGCTGCTGCTGCTGCTGCTGATACTTCTTCTGCTGCTGCTACTGCTGGTGCTTCTGGCGCTGCTGTTGCTACTGCTGTTGCTGCTGCTGCTAATATATATATATATCCGTGTGTTTCTACTTGCAGATCACGCGCTACCGATTTACGACTTAGCAACTGACGCACGGACGACGCATCTCCACCGCACGGCGCAATTATACACGTGCTGAAATTATGCGCCCGTGCCACCTGCGCTGCAATACGCCGCCGCGCTGCAGCCACCTATATGCATATTGGATCAACTCGGGCGTGTGTCGCTAACCAGAGGGAATTTCGGCTCAGGTGGTGAGCTCGGAAGACGCATTAGCTGAGATCCAGTTCACTTATTGTTACCACGTGAGACGGATGCCGAGATAGGGACAGAGCGAAACGCGTGTGCTTGCTGGCGTGTGTGGATGATGATTAGCAATTGCCGACGGGCGTGCGACGGTCTAAGTGCGGCAGCTGGCGACAAATTATGACAGTATCAGACGTTGTTGTTGTTCCCGCGTCTGTTACACGGCGACGGTGACGCCACCAGCGGCCAGGAGAGTCATCAACGAGACTAGATAGCGTTTGCTGGCTGAGTGTAGACGCTCGTACGAGTAAACGACCCTCGCGCAGAGAAGCCACGAACATTCTCACACACGAGTCATTAATCAGCTGACGAGTCTTCGCGGCAGTGGACAGCGTTGTTGCGACCTAGAGAGGAGTCAGAGGGCGCTAGCGGATTTAAGACCTCTCGCAACGACAGCGTTGATGATAGAGGAGAAGCAGGGTTGAGCGGCCGGAGTCGACTGCTGAACTGCGGATATCCGTTAAACAGTGCATCACAGCGCTGTCGACGGCATGATTGCTTCGCATCTATTCGTGCTTACACCGGACGAGCTAGTAACGAGTCGCACCACGTGACATTCTTCCTCTTCGTAGTCACTGCGAGGGATAGAGCGAGATCGAGAGAGATAGATCGAGAGAGAGAGAGAATTAGAGACAGAGGCAAATAGATATAAAGAGCGAGATAAGGATAGAGGGATAGAGAGAAAGAGGGAGAGCGAAAGGGATCGAAAGAGAGAGAGAGAGAGAGAGAGAGAGAGAG